GGCGCCCAAGGCGTGTGTACGAACGCCCGTTCCGGCTAATTTTTTGTGAAGCATTGGACGCCCATCTTGGGCGTTCGAACATTAAAAAAAAAAAAAAAAAAAAAAAATTTTGCACTGGACGCCCAACTCGGGCGCCCAAATGCAGTTTGCACGCCCAACTTGGGCGTGCACTGCATGAATGGATGCCCAAGTTGGGCTTTTACGCGTTTTGGGGGGGGGGTTTGAACTTTTTTGGGAAGTTTAGGGGTTTTAGTGAAATAAAGTGTTTTTTTGGGGGGTTTTATTATAAACCGCAAATAGCAATTTTCAAACCGTAAAAAACAATTCCCTTTAAATAACACACAAAACCCACCTCATTTTCATAGCCGCCAATTTATTTGAAAATTATTTGAAAATTGGCGCCAAATCTCCTTACCAAAATTTACCAAATTTGAAAATCAGAAGGAAGAAAAAAAAAAAAAAAAAGCGAACGCAAACAGCGATAGAGAGATGAAGTCGAAGAAATGTGCACTCAGGCCAGTTGGGCAACGCTCAATTGATTCTACTTTCCTCTTCCGTGACTCCAATCGGTAAAAAAAAATTCCAATTTCAATAATTGTTTTCCCCAATTTATGAACATTTCAATTTTTTAATTTTATTTTCTGGCAATTATTTTCTATGTGTTTTAGGTCGAGTGATTGTAAGAGAAACGTCGAAATCAAAGCTCCCACTCAAAAGGGTTCGCAGCTTTCGTTCTCCGATTTCCTTAACAAGAAGTTGCACAGAGGTTCTGTGCTACCCTCGTCGGTTCAGGTAACCTTTGTCTGGTTTTTGTGTGTCTGTGTTTTCGAGAATATATTTAATGTTGTTCGTTTTTTTTTTCGTTAACAATATCTTCAAAATCGAACAAAAGCTTTTAGGGCAAATTACAAACAACCCCTGAGGTATGCTAAAATGAATATAGTTCATATGGTTGCCCAGAACATGAAATCTTGGCTCCGGTAATTGTTTCAGGGGTGTGGTTGTAATTACTAATATCATAGGGACCTTAAAGTTATTTTAGAACACCTCAGGGGTGTATATGTAATTTATCCAAACTTTTAATGTACAGGCTCATTGTTAAATTTCTGTAAAATTATATGTTGGGTTATGGCAGGTGAAAGAGGAGCCTTGTTCATCTCAATTAAGTGATGAACATTTAATTAAGAGTAATATAAAGAAAGGAAGGGAAGCAGGGGCAAAGTTCTCAATCGGTGATGCTTTCGATTTGTTCAAGAATGTTAAAAACGAAAAAGATGATACGAGGAATTCTTGTCCGACCGACAAGACTGAGGTTATTGACATCGATGAATTTAAGCAAGCACGAAAGAGAAGGAATGTATTCGAAGGTGAGCATCTTAAATCCTAGTGATTTGATTTACTTGTGCAACTTCATTGTGTTGTACGTGCGTTTCTTGATTGGTTGTCTTTTAGACCAAGACGGGTTTATATGTCAGAAATCTTAGTTTCTAGCATTCATCCGTAACTAATCTTGGTTTCATTCAATCTCAATCGTTTTTATTGCTTCCAACTTGTAGCGTAGCTTATGAAGAAGATTTAATTAAAAAAGGGTAATTGTCGATCATGGAACAACGTTCATTAACATATAGGATAAATCCTTTTTTATCTATATTTAGATCTTCTTGATCCCACGTAAGATATATGTTTTTCTACAAAGCATGTAAAATTTACTTTGACAATTGATGCTACTTCTTTCTCGATTGATTGTCTTTTGTAGATCAAAAAACGGGTCTGTATCGAAGCTTTTCTTAGTTTCCACTCTGTCAATATTTACGACCTATCGTTTTTTTCTTAGTTTCTACTAGTGTAATCTTCTTGAGCCCTCATAAGATATATGTCTTAAATCTATCAACAAATTGATTGAGAAATTTGCCCTTGCTAGCATATACTTAGCCGATTGTTTTCCCGATCAAGTAGCCCTTTTCGATTTTCTTCGACTTCCTTTATCTTCTTTCTTGAGGAATGGAAATGACTAGAAAAATTCTTGCAAGTGGTAGAAAATTCTACAAGATATTAACTTTTCCATGTAAAAAAAAAAAAAAAAAAAGGTGAGAATCAAGAAAAGCCATGTTCGCGGAAGCGATTAGCGGTTCTTGGAGAGGATTCGAAACCAGTGCAATGTTCGAGAAGGAAGGCTTTTGCCACTCATGAGGAAACTAAACCTCTTTTCAATCATTGTGAGTCGCCATTTTTCCTACGTTATTAATTACAAAATGTCACGAAATTTTTGTACTCTTTTAATCCATTTATCCTACATACATTAGTACACTTTTTTTTTTCGTAATGACATAAAAAGTTTTGTGCCTCCTTCATTTGTGACAGATGGGAATGGGCGGGGTTGGTGGAGCGAAGATATGGAAGGCGTTGATAACGAAGAAGTTGGGTGCACCAACTCGTGGGAAGGAGTGGGGTCCACCACACTTGGAGGAATTGAGTGGCATTAGTTCGACTCGGCTTTAGTGGCGACGAACTGATTTCTCACTTTGCACGTTTCACTGTGTGTTTTCGTTTTTGTTTTTTCTGTTTGAAGATAAAGAAGTTGATTGATGATGTTCTTGAATAGATTTTGGAGGAACAATATTAGAAAGAAAAGAACTTTGTAATTTTAAATGCAAGGTGAATTCTCTCATATTTGTTTGTAGATTTGTTTTCTTATCTTATTTTATTCGGAAGATACATTTTATGAAAAATATAGTTTGATATTGGTATAAGTAGTAACCCATTGAGACCGCATAGCGCAGTGGATTAGCGCGTTTGACTTCGGATCAAAAGGTCGTGGGTTCGACTCCCACTGTGGTCGCTTCATATTCAATATAATATTTTTGGGCCTATAAATGATTTTTTTGACTCGGCCCAAACTTAATTAGTACGCTTCATAATCAATATAATATTTTGGGCCTTTAAATATTTTTTTTTACGGGGCCCAAAGTTATGAAAATGCCCGAGACAATGAAAGCCCAGCCCAGAGTTAACTTTCTGATTTTGACGTCTAGATTGCAATTTTACTTTCAGTTTGAACGAGTTGCTCCTCTCTCTTCTTTTCTCCATCTTTCTGAACAATACTTCGTCATCTGCTTGTCTTTTTTGGCAACTCTTTATAGAGTATTCGTCGTACATGGCTGACTTTGACTTAGAAGCAGCTTTGATGTCCCAACATATTGAAACTTTATGTGTTTCTCAATTAACATGAATTGAACAAGAATTCAAATTTTTATCGTAATTATGTTTATGTTTTTGAGTTTAGTCAATATTAGAGAATTTTTTATAAAAATAAAAAAGTTGATTGACTGATATTACACGACCAACTAAGCTCAATGATTGTTATTGATGATTGATGGCTGATTATCTATAATAAAAAAAAAAAAAAAAAGATATTTCAAAATGGATTGGTTGGTGAAATCGATCCATAGACGGCCCTACGAACGAACATCCACAACTTTCTGCCACCAAAAATATACAATAATTGGGGTGAGAGAGGCTCGAACTCTCGACCTCAGGATTACTCTTAAGCTATGAGACCTACGAGCTAGCCAACTGCGCCACCACCCCTTTTGTTTTCTACGTGAACATAAAACGATATAAATATAAATAAATATTAAAAGAAAAGTAAAAAAAATTTGGGGTGAGAGAGGCTCGAACTCTCGACCTCAGGATTACTCTATAGCTATGAGACCTACGCGCTAGCCAACTGCGCCACCACCCCATATATTTACAGTTCTCAAATATTGTATGTTACATATATACAAAAAGGCCTTGTCAGTTTTTGGTATAAATTGCAAATAAATACATTAAATTATTATTTTTAAATAATATCCAAACTTTTATCACACAATTCAAGATCAGTTATTTTGTTGATGGAAAATTCCCCTTTGTTGACTATTGTTATTGAACAACCGTACGTTCGGCTAGACTCAAACTCCAACTCTTTTACTACAATCGGGTACAACTCGACTATTAACTGCAGTTACATTTCCACCCCAAAAAAAATAAAAAATTGGTTGAATTGTGCCAACCAAACGTGAAAAAAGAAGCTACCAAAAGTATGGCGGCGAACAAGTTGGCGTCCCTTTTCAACAATTCCGTAGTGGAAAACTGATGCAATCCCCTCTGCAACTACTTCCTAGTCAATATTTTACATCCCCGTTATTTTCTTCATCCAACTATTTTCATCTCTCTCTCTCTCTAGAAACCTTTTACCAGATATTATTATGTACGCACAATAACATTATAAGATGAGAGAGAAAAAGGAGAGAGAGATACATTAGTAGTGTTGTTTAGTCATTATATCGAATCACACCACCTGGCAATTCAGAAGAGCTCCATCGTTTCCAGGTGGTGGATGCTCTCCCCTCTCTTCTTTCATCAAATTCACTACTCCAATTTCTTTTTTTAGTTTTCCCCTAAATTAAAACCCACAAATTAAAATTAAAAATAAATTATTTGTTTGTTCTCCTAAAAGTACTCCAAATCCAATCCCTATATTTTCGATCCCCCCTCTCTCTCTCTCTCTCTCTCTTCTCTTATCTGACCCGCCATATATATATATGTATGGTTTCTTGAGGTTTTAGATTCTGAATTTGATTGGCGGATGGTTTCTGCAAGTGGATTAGCTTTAAAGATTGAATTTTTAGGGAGGATTTGACGCTAAGTTTTTTGAGGGTTTTTGTTTTTCTTGATTATATATATATATAGTCTACATATAAGTAGTTATAACAAGTCTTTTTAGTTTTGGGGCATTTGGGTTTCTGAGTATTTTGATTAAAAACCCAATCTTTAGCCCTTCAATATATATATTCGCAAATTGAAGATGGTGAGTGGGAATTTGTTTCATTTTAGAAAGAATTCTTGGCCGCCCGAAGAGTACATAACTCGAACAACTTTGCAGTTGGTAAGCTTTTCTTACTCTTTCGATTCGTTTGCTTCGACTAGAATTTTATTATATATATTCTTTTTTTAGAAATTTTGAGTTTGTATTTTGTAGATGCTATGATTATTGGCATTAGAAGTTTGCAGTTTTATGTGTTCGTTTATGATTTCGTGCGGTATCGAATGTATTGACTAGTAGGTGTTGTGGGTTCGACAATGTGGTTGCCGATATTCTCTAATATTGACGATTAAAAAGATAAAATGCGGGTTGCCCTTCGTTGTTAATTGTTACCTATATGCAGTTTGAGAAATAAAGCAATTTGAAACGTAGTTTTGCTGTGGCGTTTACGTAATTACACGACATGTTGCCATCCTTCTTGTTCGGTTTAATTAGTTGCATATAAGAAAGGGCAAAGTAGTCATATGGATTTGATTTTGGCATGGTATTTTCTCGAAAAATCGTTTGAAGCAAAGCGAAAAACTAACAATTTAAGTGATTATTGTTTCTTGTTTTCGTTCGATCCTCATGTTTTTTTTTCGATAGATTTAGCGGGGACTGACTATAATGCCCTTTTTATTTTGCGTGCGTCGACAGTTTGATTTTGAAAGTGCCGCCCCTCCCGAGCAAGCTTTGAGAAGGAAATTAAATAGCCATGCTAGTATTCTTAAAGAATTCAGCATCACCTTTACCGAAGCCATTAAAATGGTAAAGCGTCTCTCTCTCTCTCTCTCTCTAAAAATCGTAACTTTCGAATGATCTTTGACACAACCGTTGCAAAATTACAGGTTCGGCTCGGAATACGCCTATGGCATTACATACGGGAAGAAGCATCTCAAGGAAGAGTAAATCGCCTACCCTTTTGAACATTCTTTAATAAAAATAAAAAAAGATCCAACTTTGATAAATGCGAAACGAGAATAAAACGTTGAGCACGTATTTTGTATTGACTTATTTGCCCTCCTTGTACAGAAAGCACCAATAGATCCTTTTACTCGAGAAAGTTGCAAACCCTCTGCAACACAAGGAGTTCCACTCGGTGGAATGGGGTACGTAACAGTTTCACTGTGCTGAAATTATTTCTTTCTCGTATCACTGTTTTAACATTTACGAGACCTTAATTCCTTTTTTTTTTCTTTTTTCTGTTTGTACGTAACGTGCAGAAGTGGTAGCATATCGAGAGGTTTCCGTGGGGAATTCAGACATTTCCAAATACTTCCTGGTACATGCGAGACTTCGCCTGTCATGGCCAATCAATTCTCTGTAAAGCTCTTCTCTTTTTGCTTCTCTTCGAACACTTTCTTGATTCTTTTGTCGTTTGGTGATCCGTGCGAAGAATATTTTTTTATACATCTTTGTACAATAGTAAATAGTATACAAAATTACAAATTAAATTAATGTATCATTCTTATGTTTTCGTTATTCGTTTCGTAGTTCCGGTGAGTATAAAGATACTATAGTACGAAAATTGACAAAAAATATTGTAAATATCAACTAATGTATGTATATATATATATATTAAACTAATGCTCTGATTCGACAGATTTTTATATCTCGAGATGGAGGGAACAAAAAATACGCATCTGTTCTAGCTCCCGGCCAGCACGAAGGTTTAGGGTATGGATTTATACACTTTAGTTCTTGGCACAAAATTTTACCATTTTATTCGATTTGTGATAATACGGTGTCCGGTAGTCAATATTACGTCCTGGAATTCGACATTTCTTCCCATATTTAAATTGTTTTTTTTTTTTTTTTGCGGAACAGGAAATCGACTGATCATGGTATATCATCATGGGGTTGGAACTTGAACGGTCAGCATTCGACGTACCATGCACTGTTTCCGAGGGCTTGGACTATATATGATGGTAACTTGTTGTGTAAAACGATTTATTTATTTATTTTTATTTATATATATATATATATATATATATATATATATATATATATATATATATTAATGGACCATGTTGTTACGTTCTTTTGTTCTTGCAGGTGAACCGGACCCAGAATTGAAAATATCTTGTCGACAGATATCACCATTTATACCGAATAATTATCGGGAGAGCAGTCTTCCGACTGCTGTATTTGTTTACACTGTATGTAACTTTTGCATTACGTATTAACTCTCGTATTCATTATAAACTCAATTACGTCTTACATGAAACTATACATATCTTCTGTGTAGTTGGTAAATACGGGAAAGGAGAGGGCAAAAGTCAGCCTTCTTTTTACGTGGGCGGTGAGTTTATTTTATTTACTTTTTTAAATTATCACTCTCGTAAATTTGGGGTAATCAGTTATTAGTTATTACTCTTTTGTTTCGATTGCAGAATTCAATTGGAGGTATATCGCATCTATCGGGAAATCATGTGAACGAGCCATTTATGTGAGTAGATATTACAAACTAGTGTTTTTTTTATCAGTAACGTGTTACGACGTAAATTGTATTTTTGACACTTGTGTTCGTTTTTTCTTTTTTTAATTATTAAATAGCGGTGAAGATGGAGTATCGGGAGTGCTACTGCATCACAAGCAAGTCATCAAACTCTATTATTATATATGACGGTTGGTTTGAATGTTTTCTTTTGATTGTGTCCGAATGTTTAAGTAGGCAAACGTAAGTCTGTCTACGATCTCTTATGGAATATTATATATAGGCTAAATTACGGCCAGGTAAGGTCAAATTACGAAAAAACCCTTCATGTTTGGGTAATTACAACCCCCTCAATTATGAATCTTCTTACACATCCACCCTTATGGTTTACACATCCACCCTTATGGTGTCAAATTCAACAAAATCTTCTAGATTTTGTGGAATATTCTCTAGTTTGTACTCGTTTTGTACAAAAATGAAGCATCTGATTTAATTTACCATATTTACAAGCCAAGAGACACATCTTATGATCATCTTGCTTCGAAATGTGGAGCTCGAATGGGGTAAAACAGGTACAAACTGGAGAATATTCCACATAATCTAGAAGATTCCACTAAATTTGACACCGCAAGGGTGGACGTGTAAGAAGATTCATAGTTGAGGGGTGGTTTGTAATTACCCAAACATGAGGGTTTTTTTTCATAATTTGACCTTATCTCAGGGGTGGCCATAATTTACCCTATTATATATTTGTCTTACATCCCTAAAAAAGTCTCGTGCTTTTACAAACATGCTGACTATATTTGTTTGCCATCATAACTGCTTTAATATTTAATCCGTTTGAAGTAAACGAAACTCTTCTCATTGTTGTATACTTACGATACGAGAATACGTACGGTTCACACGGCGTTTATAATTTTCGATTACTTATTTACTAATAGTATCCCTTTGTTTTTCTTTAATTTTTAATCGCGATCAGGACCGCGAAAAACAACCCTCCCGTGACGTACGCAATAGCCGCATGCGAAACTCAGAACGTGAGCGTGTCGGTTTTACCCTGTTTCGGTCTGAACGAAGGAAGCGGCGTAACTGCAAAAAACATGTGGGCTACGATGGTGCAGGTGAAGATCACTAACCTACGTCGACGCATCGTATTCCGCACCATTAATTAAATTTATTTAGCTAACTTATCCGAAAATATTTAGGATGGGCAATTCGATCGAGAGAATTACAACAAAGGACCCAGTATGCCTTCATCGCCTGGAGAAACGCACTGCGCTGCTGTTTCCGCTACTGCATGGGTCGAACCTCACGGCAAGTGCACTGTTGCATTTTCCGTCGCCTGGTCGTCTCCCAAGATTAAATTCTGTAAAGGAAAATCGTACAATAGGTGAATTCATCAACTCGATTTTTTCCGATACTTACATCGTGATGATCTGCCATGTGTCTTTTTTTTTTTTTTGATTTTTTTTTCGTTCTACGAGAGTGCAGGAGGTACACTAAATACTACGGCACTTCGAAAATGGCGGCTAAGGACTTGGTGCACGATTCTCTTACAAGTCAGTGCTTAAATTTCTCTTCCTTGAATTTGCTGCCGTAATATTCGTAAGACTTCAAAAAGTCGTTCCTTAAGTTCCGTTTGTTTGGATATGTAACAGATTATATGTTATGGGAGGAAGAGATTGAAAAATGGCAGAACCCTGTTCTTAGAGACGACGGTTTGCCCGAATGGTAATAATAATTTACCGTCATTAGCAGAAAAATAGAACGAATATACGAATTTATCGTATTATTTCGTATATAAGATTGATTAATAAGAATGCTTCTGCCTCTATGTGTTGTTTGCAGGTACAAATTTACTCTGTTCAACGAGCTTTATTTTCTAGTTGCTGGAGGGACAGTTTGGATTGGTAATAAATAATAATCCATAATTTACGTATTTCCTTTTTTGCTTTTTTAATTAAAATCGATGGATGTTAAATTAAATTTTTTTTTAAATATGTTTGTATAGACTCGGATTCCCCAGCTGAAAATTCGAGTGGTATCAAGTCAATAATCGCGGATAGCACGAAATCGAATAAAACCGAAGCAAGCGTAGTTCATAGAACAGCACTAAACGGTTCCGATACTTCCGCAGATGATCCTTCTAGAAGCGCCTCGGAAGAAGAAGGAGAAGAATCCGACACTTTCGAAAACTGCGCTGTAAATAGCAACTCGGCGGGGCCCACAAACAATGACGACCACGACGACGTGGGTAGGTTCCTCTACCTCGAGGGTGTAGAGTACATAATGTGGTGCACGTACGACGTACACTTCTACGCCTCGTTCGCCCTTCTAGAACTCTTCCCCCAAATCGAACTCTCCATCCAGCGCGACTTCGCAAGAGCCGTTTTATCCGAAGACACGAGAAAAGTCAAATTCCTGGCCGAGGGCAATTCCGGAATACGAAAAGTCAAGGGGGCGGTCCCGCACGACCTCGGGATGCACGACCCTTGGCACGAGATGAACGCTTACAACATACACGATACAAGCCGATGGAAGGATTTAAACCCTAAATTCGTCCTCCAAGTTTACCGGGACTTTGCCGCCACCGGAAACCTCTCCTTTGCCGCCCAAGTCTATCCGGCCGTTTGTGCCGCCATCGACTACATGGACCAGTTTGACCGCGACAACGACGGGTTAATCGAAAACGACGGCTTCCCGGACCAAACCTACGACACGTGGACGGTCCACGGTGTAAGCGCGTACTGCGGGTCCCTCTGGCTAGCGGCACTACAGGCGGCTGCCGCCATGGCGCTCCAGCTAGGCGACCAATCGTTTGCCGACAAGTGCACCCACAAGTTTGTAAAGGGAAAGGCCGTCTTCGAGGAGAAGTTGTGGAATGGGGAGTATTTTAATTACGACAGCGGGTCGAGCGGGAATAGTAAATCGATTCAGGCGGACCAGCTGGCGGGGCAGTGGTACACGGCGGCGTCGGGGTTGCCGGATCTTTTCTCCGGCGAGAAGATTAGTAGCGCGCTGCAGAAGATTTACGATTTTAATGTGATGAAGGTGAGGGGGGGCAGGATGGGGGCGGTGAACGGGATGCACCCTAACGGTAAGGTGGACGAGACTTGCATGCAGTCGCGCGAGATTTGGACAGGTGTCACTTACGGGGCTGCCGCTACGATGATTCATGCTGGGATGAAGGAGCAGGCTTTTGCTACTGCCGAGGGGATTTTTACTGCTGGATGGTCTGAAGAAGGATTCGGGTAAGTTTGTTTTATTTTTTTTTTTATTTTTAATGTTGCTCGTTTGTGTTTAAAATGATATATTTTAAAAGAATTTCTATATACTAAAACCGAGACTTTTCCGTTTTATTGGAATTCATAAATGTATAATATCAATATTATTATGTATACTATATTTTAGGTCACAAAAAAAAATGAAATATCGAATTCCGCCAATTTCGGTCCCAAATTTTACGATTTTGGAACAAATTTTTCCTTTTTTTTTTTGACGGAGTTGAAATTAATTTTTCACTTACGAAAAAAATTTAGAATTTTTCCAACGTATCAATTCCGGTCCGATTCGTCCGATTTTCACCCTAGTAACAATCCACTAATCTTTCGAATCATTGTTTCGTAGTCGATAAACTATACATCCCTCTCGTTTGAATCATAACAACGTAATTTCAATTTCGGGACTTCGTTTGCTTGCTAATTGATTTATCCATGCGCCATTTAATATCTCCTAACTTCTTTATTGATCGTATTTGCTCTATGTAGATACGCGTTCCAAACTCCGGAAGGTTGGACGATGGACGGGCACTTTCGATCTCTAATATATATGAGGCCGCTTTCTATATGGGGAATGCAGTGGGCCCTATCAACTTCTAAAACTATACTAAAGCCCCCACAAATACATTTAATGGACCGAACACCCCACGTTGTAAATTCTTCTCACAACGAAGCCGGTGTTAAGAAGATTGCAACCAAAGCAAAGTGCTTCGGCAATGCGGTTTTCCACTGTTCGTGCTAACCACCACCTTTTTTCGTGTTAAGAGTTTTTTCGGAGGATTTTTCTGTTTGATTCTTCGAATCGAAGTTTCTCGAAGGGAAGTGAGAGATGGTGAATCGATATGTTGTGTTATGTGATAGATATTTTCGTGTTGAAGTGTAAATTTATTCGTTTTCTTTCGCGTTTGTAAAGATGTATTCCACTTCGAAACTGGCTAATAATTTGATGCATTGTGGGTAATAAGGTTAATTATAAGCCAAATGAGTTTTTATTTATTAAGATATTTTGGTAATTGTATAAGCAATCATTTTCGATTTCAGTTTAGATTTCCGTAAAGTTTTGAAATTTTGGATACTTTCGATAGTCTGGAAATTTTCGATTTTTTTTTTTAATTGTAATTTTCAAAAAAATGAGTAACAATCACTTCCATTAATACGAATTCTGCCAATTGCATTTTCCAAACTTAAAAATGTTAAGGTGGTGTATGCAAACGCTTTTGAAAAGTGATTTGCAGCTCTCTTTTTTGTTGCTCATAATCACTTTGAAGTGTTTTGTAAAATGAATTTTTGCTTTTGCTTTTCTTAAAATAATCAACTTTAAACTATAATTTGTTAAGCATCCATGATCCTGTCTTTTTAAGTTAAGTTGATTTTGGAGTGAATTGACAAACACCCCTAACTTTTAGAAATAAACACTTAAAATCTACTTAACTCACAATCTCTAACTTTTGCTTTTAAAAAGCTTTTGTAAACACCACATAAATTGTTTAAAGTTGATTTTAAAAATAAGCACCTATCACTAACTTAGGTGGTGTTTGTAAAAAAATATTGAGAAGCAGAAGTTTAATATGAGTTAAGTGTGTATTATTAAAGTTGTGAATGTTTGTAAATATGCTGAAAAATAAACTTAAACAAAAAAAGCAGGTCAAGAAGAGCTTATAAAAATTAACTTAAAACAGCTTATTTTAATAGAAGAAAAAACAAAAAACTAATTTTATAAGCCCCTAAAAACAGATTATAATAAGAAAGGAAAAAAATATATATACATAAAAAACTCAGAAGCTGTTCTAAAAAGTTTTGCAAACACGACCTTAGGAAATAATTGATGCTCGAATATTGGAAAGATCACTCAAATTTGCCATATCAATTTCTATACAGACGATTTGGTTTCCTTACAATTGGATACTAATTTAGGATATTACGTAAGCATCACCAATCAAAATTCCTTTGCTCCCAAAATTGACGATCGATTGTAATTACCAGTGCCGAAAAACAGTTTAGCAGCGCATCAAATTCTTCGCATTCAATTCAAAATCCTCAAACGCATCCAGAAAGTAAGGGTTTTTTTTTTTGTTTAATTTAATTTCCATTGCATGTACTCTGTTTGTAGTAATTTTAATCCGGTTTTTTTAATTCCTTGATCCTGAATTTGTTTATCCTAATTTCTGATTCTGTTTTCACTTTCGTCAACTTTTTGACCTGAATGTGATTTTCATCAATGGCTTTTTCTAAATATAGTAAAATAATAAGTTGAAGCAATCTCTTATTGGCATATGATCCTTTACAATTTTGCATAAAGGTGTGCTTTATTTTGTTAAACTCAGATTGATCTTAGTTTGCTTGTGATTCTGTTTTCACTTTTGTCAACTTTTTGACCTAAACGTGATTTTCATCAATGGCTTTTTCGAAATAAAGTAAAATAGATAAGTTGAAGCAATCTCTTATTAGCATATGATCCTTTACAATTTTGCATAAAGGTGTACTTTATTTTGTTAAACTCAGATTGATCTTAGTTTGCTTGTGATCTGGGCTTCGTTTTATATTTTTTTCCTCGTTGATTGTTTTGTTTTTTGTAACCGTTCTCGTTTTTGGGATTTTTTTCATACAGAATTGTCGCGATGGCGAGGAAGATGCTTATCGATGGGGAGGTGGAAAAAGCCAACAAAGAGAATACTCACTATGACTTTGATTTGTTTGTAATTGGTGCAGGGAGTGGCGGAGTTCGTGCATCACGATTTTCAGCCCAGTATGGAGCTAAGGTATAAATACCGAAAAAAGCGGATATACAATTTTTTATGTATACAAATCGTGTAATTTGTTCATTAGGCTAAGAATTTTTCCTAGTCAAGTGATGCTATAAAGATGTTGGATATATATCTTTGTCGTTGTCTCTCCTGATTTTTGTTTCCCATAGTATAGGTTGTGTCAAAGAATCCTCTTGCATGTTTCTTATGCTTGTGCCAGTTTTTTTTTATTAATTTTTTTTTTATATTTTTTTTATGATTTTTATTTACATAGTGCCATGTGCTTCTAATTGATCTGTTACGAAAAAAATGTGTCGTGTTACAGGTTGGTATCTGCGAGCTTCCATTTCATCCTATCAGCTCTGAAACTATTGGAGGAGTTGGTGGAACGTAAGTTAATATGAATATTAGGTTTACTCACAATAGATTTGTTACTTCTACCGTGAATGCTGTACTTGGGATATGTATTACATCGAAGATTTGGTGCCGGTTTATTATTAATTTCCTGTATTTTCTAGGCTTCTCCTGAAATTTATCTTTTCAAAATTGTGTCAATAATGGAATGCTCGACTATGGAGCTGCAATTGGATTATTTGTTTACTTAGGTAGTTAGTTGTCAAGTTGATTTTTTTTCTTTTTTTTTTTTTTTGTATTTTGGAAGGTGTAAGATTTTAGTAACAGTTCGAATGCTTAAGAACAGTCTCTAATTTTCCGATTACTCGAGAACTTATGGTGAAATTCGTTCTCTAACTTTTATTATGTTCTGAAATCAAGCTATCAACATTTAAAATTCTACTGCAACATTTCCGAGTATTGATTTACGTACTGGTTAGTGTTGTATTCTAAGCCAATCTGTTTGTTTATGGATACGTTTAATGTCCTTAGTAATGTGATCGGTAGTGAAGCTTAAGAAACTAATGGTTTCACTATTTCAGGTGTGTCATTCGTGGTTGTGTGCCTAAGAAAATTTTGGTCTACGGTGCTGCTTTTGGTGCTGAAATCGAGGTGAGATTCTTTATGCAATTCTTAACTTTAGTGAGTTGAATAGTTTATTTGGTCAAGTAATACTATTGGGCTTTGCAGGACGCAAAAAATTACGGGTGGGAACTGAACGAGAGAACTGATTTCAATTGGAAGAAACTTCTACACAAAAAGGTCGGTCGAATATATAGGATTTCGTTCGTTCAATAACTTCAGGTTCAAGAATGTTATGTATATGTATTTTCTTGATTTTTGTTAATAAACTTGCAGACAGAAGAAATAGTGAGATTAAACGGAATCTACAAGCGTTTACTTTCAAATGCTGGTGTAAAGCTGTTCGAAGGAGAGGGAAGAGTTATCGGTCCTAATCAAGTTGAATTGATTCAATTGGACGGAACTAAAATTAGCTACTCCGCAAAACACATTCTTATTGCCACTGGAAGTCGGGCTCATCGTCCAGCTATTCCGGGCCAAGTGTGTGCAATTTATTTATTATTACTTTTTTATGTATTATCTTGATTGTTTAATATGAGAAAATATTATCTGATATGATGTGCAGGAATTAGCCATAACATCAGACGAGGCGTTGAGCTTGGAAGAGTTGCCTAAACGAGCTGTCATACTTGGTGGAGGGTATATTCTCTGTTTGTGCTCTGTTTTTTTTTTAAATAACGAAGAAATTTGATAAATTATCACTTCTTTTAATGTAGGTATATTTCTGTTGAGTTTGCTTCGATATGGCGAGGGATGGGTGTGACTGTGGATTTGTTTTTCAGAAAAGAACTTCCTTTAAGGTTAATTTATTTCTTTTAACTTTTATCGTCTGCATAACACATTTTACATTTAAGTAAAGATTCGATTTTTTTAAATTCGTTTCGTATCAGAGGTTTCGATGATGAAATGAGAACAGTGGTTGCGAAAAATCTGGAAGGCAGGGGTATCAACTTGCATCCTAACACAACCTTAACTGAGGTGCTGTTTTATTTATGAAAATTTAAATATTCATTTCGTGAGACTCGCAAATTTGTTTAAAAGGAATTAAAAAAACGATAAGATAAATAAAACCCGGAAATGACGCGTTGTGTTTCTCTTGGTACACTCGATTTTCCGGTCCCCTTGTGTTATATTTTTAATGATAATATATTTGTGGTGCAGCTGACTAAAACAGAAGATGGTATAAAAGTTCGAACTGACCATGGCCAAGAAATTACAGCTGATGTTGTACTCTTTGCCACTGGTAATTTGACATTATTGCCCTTCTTGCACTTACTTTTACAATTTATGCAATATTTCGACTTCTAATTTGGGGAACCGGGCATGTGATAATTTGCTCTGTACTCCGTCGAGTAGATTTTTTAGAATTTTTTTTCTGAACTTAATCGAGCTAACCTTTTCCGTAAAGTCAGAGGCCGATAAAATGTTTCTCTTCTAATTTATTACAGGTAGAGCCCCCAACACTAAAAGGTTAAATCTGGAATCTGTAGGAGTCGAGCTTGATAACAGAACCGGAGCTGTAAAGGTAACATTACTGCGTTTTTTTTACCAAATTATTGTTGCAGAAATTTCAATATTCAATCTTTAATTTGTTACATATCATATATTGTAGGGTTAAATACAAAAACACCCCTGTACTATGGACTTTGTATCATTTACCCCCATGTACTACACATAAATAAATACAAAAACCCCCCTGCTATTATATTTTTTCCAAAATACGACGGAAATACCCCTGCTAAACCTATAAATATAAGGGTTTGTTTGAGCCATTTTCCATTATATCTTTTAACATTTTCAGTCAATTTTATTTGGGAAATTTTTATTTTTTTTATTTTTTCCTTCAAAACATTTAATTACTTAGATTCTTTTTTTTTTTTTTTTTTTTTGAATAAAAATCTTTTATTTTTTTCATTTTGAATTTATTCATTTTTTTCTTAAATGTCTTCCGGTAGTTCAAATTATCAACAATAATAGGATTGTAAAGATGTTTGTAATCTTAGGATGTTTGAACTACCAGAAGACATTTAAGAAAAAAAATGAAGAAACTCAAAATGACAAAAATAAAAAGGTTTTATTTAGAAAAAAAAAAATGTAAGCAATTAGATGTTTTGGAGAAAAAAGTATAAATACAAAAATTTTCTACGTAAATTTGACTGAAAATGGTAAAATATATAGTGGAAAATGGCTCAAAGTATATATATATATATATATATATATATATATATATATATATATGAGTAGGGGTATTTTCGTCATATTTTGGAAAAAATGCAATGTGAGGGGGGTTTTTGTATTTATGTGTAGTACAGGGGGGTAAATGATACAAAGTCCATAGTACAGGGGTGTTTTTGTATTTAACCCTATATTGTATTCTATAGTTTAATCATCCAAATATATTACAGGTTGATGAATATTCTCGCACAAACATACCGAGCATATGGGCAATAGGTGACGTTACAAACCGAATGAATCTCACTCCCGTTGCCTTGATGGAAGGAACCTGCTTCGCTGTACGTTCTATTTTCCATTTTCTTTTATGAATTAATCGAGTTAGATAATGCAATGGTGTATAATTTAATTTATTTTATTTTTTCCGTTAATCGAATTGTTTTTATTTGATGTTTACAGAAAACAGTGTTCGGTGGACAGCCTACTGCAGCTGATTATAACCATATTCCATGTGCTGTTTTCTGGTACTACCGTTATTTTTCTTACCGAAACTTTGGTACTGCATTGTGTTTGTCAAATGTTCGGGAATTTAAAAACCGGGCCTTATTTTTAATTTATTAATTAATTAAACAATGAAAGATATTCTATACACAATCTTACTTGTATGTACGTACCGTATATGTTTACTTCGACAGCATACCACCACTGTCTGTAGTTGGTTTAAGTGAGGAACAAGCTTTGGAGAATTCAAATTGCGATATTTCGGTTTTTACTTCAACTTTTAATCCAATGAAGAACACCATTTCGGGGTATATTTTAATTTTATTTTATTTATTACTATGGTTATGCATTTTTTTTAGTTATTATTATTTTTTTATTTTTTGGAAAGACGCCAAGAGAAGACGATGATGAAGCTAGTAGTCGATGCCGAGAGTGATAAAGTTCTTGGAGCGTCCATGTGTGGGCCCGACGCACCTGAGATTATGCAGGTAAAATTCACTTCGTATATTATTACAATTATTTCCCTCTTTTTTATTTTTCAAAATATAAAGTAATGCACATCAATTTAATCATTAAAAGAAGGCAAATATTTACGAGCGTTAATTTAATATAGAAAAAAGACGATTTTAAATCGTATTTTTCTGGATTTGCTTTTAACAGGGCATTGCAGTAGCACTCAAATGTGGAGCAACCAAAGCTCAATTTGACAGCACGGTAATTAAGTTTAATCGACTTATTTAATATGAAAATATATATTTATCGATTATTCGTCAAAGTTACCAGAAGAGGTATATAAACTACAAGTTATGGCAAATTTTTTAATTAATTAATTACTTATAATGTTCTTGATATTCTATCAGATTGGTATTCACCCTTCTGCTGCAGAGGAGTTCGTGACGATGCGATCTGCGACGAGGCAAATTCCTGCTCGTAAGCCAAAAGCCAATATATAGAAATGAATACTACTTCATAGTAAAACTTATTATTTATTACACAAATTAAATAATAAATATTGTCTTCTGAGAAAGTATTATTTAGTATTGAACAGAAGCTACCCAAATAATAATTTTATGTTTTGTCTTCTGAATTTAATAGGGTTACATGATTTTTTATAAAATGCAGATGTAATTAATCATATATATTTTATGATATTTAAAAAATAAAATATAATAATTCACAAGCATGAACTGTATTTGAGCGATACAAATAATTGTTGCAAAAAGGTTTCACAGCTTAGTTTTAAAAAACCTCTACTCCAAACTCCATAAATACCAAAAAAACGAAATCGAAATCTACGATAAGTTCGTAATTAGTCGGGAAAAAAAAAAAACAGTAAAGCTAAACATATTAAGACTAAACTATATTTACGCCTACTGTTGATGTCTTTTCCTCGGCATCGACTGATTATAATCAGGGTGATCATTACAATTATCCTGAGGTTTTACCGTAGGATCGGAGGCACCAGTAGTACTGGTCGAAGGTAAAGACGAACTACCAAACGACGAAGGAGCTCGTTCGTAGATTCCTTGATTTTGTATGTGTGGAGAAGGAATATTACCTTGATTCTGTATGTGTGGAGAAGGAATATTTCCTTGATTCTGTATATGTGGAGAAGGAATATTCCCGTGACTGTTCTGGAATGTTCCGGGAGTTTCCATGAACTGGTATCTCGGACAATCGATATTATAAGGCATGTGCACGCTCCGATGATTCTCGAAATAAACTTGTCTGCTCGGAGATACACCAAACATCTCTCTTTGCGCGGTGATGTAATCGTAATTATGATCGGTCGTCGTGTGATGATTTTGATTATGTGGGAGCGCGGTATAATTAATCGCCGGCGGCTGGATGTAATGTGGGGGCCGATTATAATTATCACTCAATACTGGACTGTCGTTGCGATAATCGGGAAAAGTCGAAGATGGAGGCAAATTATAAACTTGAGGAGGTGTGTCCACTAGATGGTCTTTGATGTTGGTGCAGAAGGGGGAGACGAGATCGAATAACAGAGTATCCGTATTATTAATAGTTTCGGCAAATTCGTTATAACAAATATTATTGGGGCATTCGTTATAACAAATATTATTGGCGTATTCGTTACTACCAATAGTGGCGTGTTCGTTATAATTACCGGAATTCGTCTCGGCGGCTTCTTGATCTTCATTTCCGAAATTCGTCTCGGCGGCTTCTTCTCCTTCTTGATTTTCTTGATTTTCATTAATTTCTTCGTCTTCTTCTTTCACTAATTGGGCAGTTTCGTCACCTCTCTTTCGCTTGTTGTTTGCCCTTTCGGATTTTATATACAACCGACACAAAACCCAATCGTCTAGCTGCAAAAAAATAAAAATAACCAAAAATATATATAATTTCTTATCAAAAAAAAAATGTGATATTCGTGTAGCGAAAATTAGGGTTTTAATTAGGGTTTGAGATTGTATACCCTCATATCAGTAGGACAGGTTTTTGCTCGACCGGGCTGATTGACTTTGTATTCGTGCATAATCCAGTTAGTCTTGATTCCTGCTGGGGCTTTCCCTTCATGGTAAACGAGAGACTTTTTGTATCCGACGATTTTACCCCCGGAAGAGATCACTTTATCGGAACCAGTAGCTTTCCAGTAGCCATTGCCTGCCGATCGACTAGGCCGCTGTCCGTTTTGATACTTTCGATCCCTCGGTGTGAAGAAGTACCACTCTTTTTCTCCAAGTTGAGGGTTGTTATCTTTCCCAAAAAATCATAAATAAATTCAAAAGAAAAAAAGAATTAGCAGATTGCATGCACATTATATTCTATATATATACACAAATGTTAAAAAAAATGTTTTGTGCCTTTAAATCACTGTTAAATTAAAAGTTAATTTGAAAACCCTAAACCTAATGGTGGAGTGACGTGGCACTGAAAATTATGTCAAGAAAAAATAAATAATGACATATTATCAAAATTTTCATATAGTCGACACGTATTCGTATCGATTAAAAGCTCGTTTAAACTCAACTCGATTACTAACGACCTCGGTAAAATTGTATATATATTATTACTGGGGCGGATCTAGGGAGGTTTTTGTGGGGCCTAAAATAAGTGTGTGAATTAAGAGAAGATAAAAAATATTTTTTATGGGCTAAAATGTACAAAATTTAAATTTTGGGGGCTAAAGTCTATAAATTAATAGATAATTACCAAAATAAAATATAAAAAATTAACAAAAAAATACTAGATTAAACCTAACATGAAAACTGGTTAATATTTGACACGTCATCATCTTGAATATAAGTTACATTTAAAACCCTAAATTAAACCTAACACTGAAAAACCTGTCAGGTACTAATTCGTTACTCAAAATACAATCGATCTCAGATTAGAAAAAAATAAAAATAATTATATATAATCGAAACAAATCTCGTTGATTCGTATTCGTATTCGTATATCCCTTTAACACTCAGTTTAAACTCAACTCGATTACGACTGACCTAAAAACACAACTTTCAAAGCTCGATAAAAATTCAAGAAATTTTAAACAAACAGGCCTTCGACTCGATCTCATAAAACTTCAAAAAAAAAAAAATCAAATATAGTTGACTCGTATTCGTATCCATTAAAACTCGTTTAAACTCAACTCGATTACAAACGACGTAAAAAACAACTTTCAAAAGCTCGATAAATTAAAACTCAAAAAACTTTAAACAAACGAACGTTCGCAACACTCACTAAATTAAAAAAAAAAAAAAAAAAAAAAGGATTAAAAATACAAACCTGCCAAGAACTGAGGATGGTGTTCGTAAAGATGAACTTCGTTTATTTCATTGAGCGGAATCGGCAGATTTTTGATCTTCACCTCTAGATAGTCGACGATGAGTTCTACGTCCTTTGGCACAAAGCGGTAACCCGGCGGATATTTAGGTTTATCATCCGCCGCCGGAATCACTGCTTCGCCGGAGATTGAACAAGATTTTGGTGCAACGTAGGCCTGATTGTCCATTAATAATTATCATTAATTGTGATTTAGCTGAGCTTTTACTACTAGTTAGAGTTATATAGTTACATGTATATATATATACATATATATATATATATATTAATTAATTAATTAGTTCGAGTTTGTTTGCATTTGGGATTCTTTCAGATAGGGTTTTGTGCTTCCCGGGCTCATCACGTTTGCACAAAATTAATAGTTTTATTTTTTTCGTGATTAAATATATATTTTGAATATATTGGTCGCTATATTATAGCTCTTTTGAATCAAAGAACATTCAAAAATAAAAATAAATAAACCGCTCAAAACTCACTGAGTTCCCTCCAAAATAAAGTTTATTTAGTAAAATTTATTACTAGTGACTGGAACAACCGGTTTACCGGTCGGTTTTAACCGTTTGAACCGGTTTTCAAAAAAAAAAGGAAAATATTAATTTCCCCTCTCTCTCTCTCTCTCTCTCTCTCTCTCTCTCTCTCTCTCTCTCTCTATATATATATATATATATATATATATATATATATATATATATATATAAGTATTAAGAAAAATATTTCCAACGGTTAAAAATAAACAAAAAATATTTTACTTTATTAAAAAAACAATTAAGTTTTTTAAATATACTTTTTCACTTAAAAAAAAGGACTATTTATATATATATATATATATATATATATATATATATATATATATATATATAT